ATAGGGGCAGATCCAGAGATCCTTGAAGGACGCAGCACAGCGCCAGAAGCTCCAGGCTGATTGTAGATGGTTGCCCGCTCCTTCATACCAGGTCGGAGATCGGGTGTGGTTGTCCACTCGCAACCTCAATCTTCGGGTGCCCGCACCGAAACTGGCTCCCCGTTTTGTTGGTCCTTTTCGCATCCTCTGCAGGGTAAACCCGGTTGCCTATGCACTTGCTCTTCCGCATGGGATGTGTATCTCCAATGTCTTCCACGTATCCCTGTTGAAGCCTCTGGTCTGTAATCGCTTTACTGCCTCTCCGCCTCAGCCTCGTCCTATCCGGGTTGACGGTCATGAGGAGTATGAGGTGAGCAGCATTCTGGACTCTCAGTTGGTCCGCTGTCGGGTGCAGTTCCTGGTCCATTGGCGTGGTTATGATCCCGCAGAATGTTCCTGGGTTCCTTCTGTGGATGTTCATGCTCCTGCCCTCCTCCACGCTTTTCACGCCCGCTTTCCTCAGAAGCCTTTTGTTGAGCCGCGGAGGGGGAGGGGCCCTTGAGGAGGAGGTACTGTCAAGGTCCTACCTTTCCTCAGAGCTTATGCTGCTCCATGTGCTGGCATCCATCTTAGGTTTCTGCAAAGCATGGTGGGAGCCTTTATGCTTTCAGGTCTCTGCAGCTCCTCCTCCAGAGGGGTGTGGTTGATCACATTTAAGCCTGCTGTCTGCAGTTGCTCTTTGCATTCGTGTCCTGTATGATTGTGTTGCAGCAAGCTCTTGTTCTACTCTTGCGTTGCTTTTCTGGAAACCAACTCGGCTTTGACAAGACTATTCTCTGCCTTATCCCATTATCTGACCTTCCGTTGCTGATCCCGGCCCGTGACCTGAGTATTCTTGCCTACCATCTTGTACCATCTGTCCCGCTGTTATCGATCCGGCCTGTCCGACCACGCTATCATTTCCCATCTGGTTCCCACCAGCTTACGCCATTGGTGGTGGCCATTGCTGCAGCTGGGGTTACTCGGGGGCCGCGACCTGGTCTCTGGCTGCGTCAAGTCCATCCCCACCATCAGGGGCCCTGGTGAAAGGCAGCCTGGGACTTGGACTCCGCACCCTGAGGAACTCCGGTCTGCGGGTGGTGGCTGTCATCAGTCGGTGCGTGACCCTGCCATTAGGCCTGCCTGTCCATTCCACCGTTCCTGCCCTGACAGCGTGTGTTCGTAGATCTTAGAGGGAGTGTACTGAGAACGTTACAGTCCCCATATGAGAAACTTGGGTCATTCTTAGTGTCTGTAATTCTTTTGATGAACTCACAGAAATAGGAAAAAGGAGGAAAGGCAACTCTATGTTCTTCCTTATACTTTGATACAAGCGCTGCCCATCTTTCTTGAATTCCATATGGTAGCTTGAGAACAATAGATGTGATGCCATGAGAGGTGTCAAGGTAACTGAGACCAGGTAAATTGATGTCAGCCTTAGCAAGTTGAGTTCTTGAAACTTTAGATTGTCGCTAGCAGAAATCCTTGGGAAGCTTTGCAACCTTTTGAATAAAGCATCTTCAATAGCCTCGGGGCTTCCAAAGGTATGTTCAAGGCTGCCCCAAGCAGCATTAAGACCTGCAGCAGGGTTGCGAATATGAACTGCTTTGAGCCTCTTGATGCGTTCAGTAGACCTAGCCATCTGATGAGCAGATCTAATTCCTCTATGGCATTGATGTCTAGGTCACTCATTTTGGCCTTAAAGGTGGATTTCCAGCCTCTGTAATTTTCAGGCTTGTCATCAAACTTGGTGAGGCCTGTCTTAACAAGCTCTCTGCGTAGCATGTACTTAGCAAATTGTGACATGTCCGTGTTTTCAGATTTTGGGTGCATGACTGCAGGTGGTACAGAGTTAGTTGTGACGGTTGGTGGAATTACGTGGAGTGACTTGGGAACATATGTTGCTGCTAAGGCATTCAATGCCAGAGCTGGCTTAAAGTCCATTGGCACATTGGTTTATAGAGTAGCGCGTTTGCTAGGAGGTACTCTGTTGGTGCCAAAGTATGATGGACGGTCTATTAAATACATACCAGTGTCTGCAGCTAACTGAGATGCTGCAGTCTGATGTATTGGGGGATATAAGAGCAAATCATCTTGAAGTACAGTAGGTGCAGAGAAGAAACTTTGAGTACTTTGGCTGCTGTGACAGGGAGTTGACGTTCTGGAGAGGTGTGTGAAGAATCTGAGACATAAGATACAACTGAGTGTCTGGAACTGTTGTCTCTTTCGTTTTCACTAGCAGCTTGTTCTAAGACCCTTAATCTTGCCATGGCTGTGGCATGCTCACATTGTTTTTCCAAAACTTCAATTTCTGCCTTTTGGCGTGTGGCTTCAGCTTCTTTCTCTGCATTCTTATATGCAGCCTGAGCCTCCATTTCTGCGGCTTGAGCCTCTATTTCTGCTTTCTTTTGGGCAAAAGCTGCCTGAATTTTAGAAGCTTCAGCATCAGCACGGGTTTTTATTAGTTGTTAATTAAGTGGAGAAGACCTTGATTGTAGGGATTTGGAAGATCTTGAGGAGCATCTAGTAGATGCAGAGCAATAAGATCTGGATTCATGGAGCAATGTTATTCTAACTTCTGCCTTTGTCTTTATGCGCACCACTAAATTGTCTCTTTCAAGACTGAGCTCCTCAAAACTCATTAATTCTTCCAATGACCTTTAAGTGTTTTACCGCTTTAAGAGAGCAATATATTTAACACGCAGTCTTTGATAATTCTCATAAGCAACATTCAATTGCTGGATTGCGCCCTCTAGTTGTATTGGCTCATGAGATTGTTGGAAGAGAGCAGACATTTATTTAACAGTATTATTATACAGGACGTATTAGACCATAAGTCATTGATATTAGACAGCAGTTCTTTGTCAAAGTCCTGCTCTGGTTGTGTATTAGTTTCCCCAGACTGTATATTACTTTCCTGAAACATCATGTTAGCAAGGAGAGGGGCTGATACAAAGTTTACAGAGAAATGTATCAATTTTTCTGTGGGTGAGCTCAGGTTTCTTAGGCAATGGTTGCAGAAAAGTTTTCTTTCACTTTCTAAGATTTCACAGACAAGCCATGTTCTAATGCATACAGATGCAGTGTATAAATGTGCAGTTGTAAAATATTCACATCAATAATTTATCCTGACACTGATGAGTGTTATGCTGAGATATGCTTGCAGCCATGTGTAGAGATGGCTGCACAGTCTGTAGCTGCTATTCCAGTGTCCATATAACATCTCACTGTGTATCCAAAGCTAGCAAGGTTCCTATGAAGACATTTCACTGATCATTTGACTGATCTTTTGAAGCTAGCAAGGATCCTATGAAGACATTTCATTGATCTTTTTACTGTTCTGTCTCTCCAATCTAAGCATTAAAAGTGTGATCTCTGTAACTTACAGTTGTGATGAGATAGCGATAACTCCAATCTCAGTTGAATACCACAGTCAGTGACTCAATCGGATGATATCTTGTAGATCTTGTGAAGAATCTTACAACAATGAACATTTGATAGGTCAAAAGATCATAATGTGACCTGCTTCATGACATGAGGCTAGAAGCTGCAATGCCTTCATGGGAAAAAGGGTGGGCTATCTATACAGCATTAACTAAACCAAAGGAAAGGGAGGAGCAGAGACGAAATAAAGAGAACACTTAAAGGCATATGACAGTCATGTGAAACATGACACGCACCATCACCACAGACGGGTATATTCAGAGGATTATTACATACAGTATCACTCTTCGAGAGACAGGGATTCTTTAGTTTGCATTAAAAGCTTTAGAGACAGTTTCAACACTTTTGAAAATAGGGTTTATTACTAAAAAGGTCAAAATGATGCAATTAAAATATTTACAGAAAAAGATGTTACAGAGCTATAAAGAGAACAATAGAGCAACAGAGGAATAAAAGAAGGAGTTAAGAAGGCAGAATACTTACAAAGTCCTGTTTCAGCAGAGTCCAGTTGTCCGTGCAAAAAGGTTGTGTTGGCTCTCAAGTCCATTAGATGTTTCTAGATTGATGTTAAACGAGAGCTCCCTTCTCCAGGCCTGTCAGTCCTTTTCTATGATATTAAAGGGGTGTCGCCTGAGAACTGACCAATCATCTAGTTTGGGGAAGGGTTCCAAGAGGCCACCAAGTTTATGACCGAGTCGCACTACAATTTCATACTGATATCAACAACTTCCAATATGTGCAGGTGGCATTCTGGCAACTGGCAGATTAATATTCAGAATTGTATTTCAAACCCAGGGATACCAAACACAGTGTACTCTTGTCACCCAAGAAGAAAGAGACTGCTTTCTCCTCTCTCCTACGTGCCAACATAGTTATGTATGACCTTGCCTGGTTCGACATAAAATGATCTATCCAAATATATGCCTAATAATAATGTTCCCAGTTCCTGTTGAATTTTATGAATTATATGTGAAATTGTGACATGTTTTATGGCACTCCCTGCATTCCTAGAGCCCTAGTGCCTAACGGGTCATGTGTAAAAACTGACTGAGCTATTGTTTTACGATAGTGCAGAGGAAAGTGTCTTTGCAATGTAGACATCCTGCCAAGCCTAATTAGCGGTTTACAGCTCTAGAGCTTCACCTATTTGTGTTTTATTTAAGATAAAAGGCTTTTTTGAAGTTGTTACAACTTACAGCTACAAATTCCATTTTCTAGAGGAGGGGGGAGGGAGGAGGAAGGAAAGGAGAGATGATTGTAAGTGAAAAACAACATGGCTGAGACTTTAACAAGATGGCTGTCACGTACAGAATCCATATCTCTTTTGCGCACAATCGTTACAGATTTCAGTGCAGGTGGAAGGCAGAAAAGTGGTTTAACCGCCACCCACCCGCCATATAGTCCAATGACAGACACAAGGCGGTTCTCTTGTTCTGGGAGGATGTCATATGACGTCCTCCCATTCTCACCGCACATGCGCGGCTCTGGGAGCATGCAGCGCGGCGATCGGCAGTGCGCTCTGTCCCTCGGACACAGTGGATCACCGATCCACGGAACGAGCCGAAGATGTCGACTCGGTCATGTGATCAGCTGTGTCCAATCACAGCTGATCACATGTAAACTGGGAAATGCCGGTTATCAGCATTTCTCTCCTCACGAGCTGTCACGCTGACAGCTCGTGAGGAGAGCCGGTAATCAGCATTCCTCTGAGGGGACATGTGCACTGATCATCAGGGCACTGATGATCAGTGTGCCCTGATGATCTGTGTAGCCCCAGCAGTGCTACCTGTCTGTGTCCATCAGTGCCAGCTCTAAGTGCTCATCCATGCCACCTGCCAGTGCCTGTCAGTGCCACATCAATGCCACATATCAGTGCCTACCAGTGCACATCAATGCCACATATCAGTGCCCATCTGAGCTGCTTTTCAGTGTCACCCATCAGTGCCAGTCAGTGCCACCTATCAATGCCAATCAGTGTCACCTATCAGTGCTGCCAATCAGTGCCACCTATCAGTGCCAGTCAGTGCTGCCTATCAGTGTCAGTCAGTGCCACCTAACAGTGCCAGTCAGTGCCGCCTATCAGTGTGCCTCAGTGCTGCCTAACAGTGCCAGTCAGTGCCGCCTATTAGTGCCACCTATCAGTGCTGCCTATCAGTGCCATATATCAGTGCTGCCTTTCAGTGCCCATCCGTGATGTCTGTCAGTGCCCATCAGTGCCCTACCAGTGCCTCCACATCAGTACCCATCAGTGCCACCTATCAGTGTCCATCAGTCCAGCTTATCAGTGCCCATCACTGCAGCCTCATTAGCGCACATCAGTGATGGAGAAAAATCAATTATTTACAAAATTATATAACAAAAAAACTAAGAAAAAAATTTTTTTTTCAAAATTTTCAGTGGTTTTTGGTTTGTTTAAGAAAAAATAAAAAACCCAGAGGTGATTAAATACCACCAAAATAAAGCTCTATCTGTCACAAAAAAAATGATAAAAATTTCATATGGGTACAGTGTTTCATGACAGCGCTGAAAGCTGGAAATTGGCCTGGGCAGGAAGGGGGTATACAGTAAGTGCCCTGTAGGCTAGTCAGGGGCGGACTGACCATTTGGAAACTTGGGCACTGCCCGAGGGCCCGGGGTCAGTAGGGGGCCCCATGAGATGTCCCTGGTACCTTTTTCATAGGCTTTTTTGAGTTTGGGCAAGGACACAGGGCTCCCATGGTCCCCTATTGCCCGGGGGCCCCATGAGTTGTCAGTCCGCCCCTGAGGCTAGTGGTTAAAAACAATCCAGACGGCAGGCTAAAACATTGTCAGTAAACAGGCCAGGGTCGGTTCAGGTGGAAGGCAGAAAAGCGGTTTAGAAACAATCCAGATGGCAGGCAGAGGGATTGTCTGTAAACAGGCCAGGGTTCGTTAACGTGGAAGGCAAAGGCATGGTTAATCAAGGCAGCAGGGAAATGACCAGCACGGAGTTTAGAAACTGGGAAATGTTAAAAATAAGGGGAATTAATATATAAGTGACGTGTGATAACGTTGGAAGCAGTCTCCAATGTATAGGCCTGGTTGGGAGGGACATTGTGGACAATGAACACTGGTGTCTTTCCTAACTCCTCTTCTGCTGCATACCCAACATTTTTTTTGGCGTCTTCTTCCTGATTCTGTGGGTGGAATGTTTTCTGGAAAATGTTGCTGATGAACAGGGGCGGACTGACCATTTGGAAACTCGGGCACTGCCCGAGGGCCCCGGGGTCAGTAGGGGGCCCCATGAGATGCCCCTGGTACCTTTTTCATAGGCTTTTTTTTGAGATTGGGCAAGGACATAGGGGCCCCATGATCCCCTATTGCCCGGGGGCCCCATGAGTTGTCAGTCCGCCCCTGCTCATGAAGTCTTCTCACACAATCAGAATGAATGTTTTCTGGGGAGGAACCTTGCTGGTAGATCAGGGCAGTGATAATTTCTTCTATGTATTTAAGGAAGGTGGTGGGTCTTTCTGTTGACTTTTGATAGATGTCAAACACATTGTAAATGGCCAAATGGAAAAAATAAATTGCAGCTTTTTTCACAGAGCTTGTTCAGCTTCAATCCATTCCTGGCCCTTTTACTTTTCATCCACACAAATGTGTTGCTCAGGGACATAAAGTTCCGCAAATCTCTTTGCAAAAGAATTTATTAGGGGGTGGATTTTGTATAGCTTGTCATCGTTGGGATGATATCGGGGAAGGCACTGTGAGTTATCATTGAAATGCAGGAATTGCATGATTAGATCATAGCGTGACCGGTACATTACAGCAGAATAGATGGGCATATGATGGATAGGGTTGGTGGACCAGTAGACATGCAATTTGTTTTTGTAAGCCCCATGTTAAACATAAGGCCCAAAAACAATTTGAACTCCTCCAATGTGAGATGACTCCATATAAAAGAACGGGCACAGGATTACTGGGATTTTTATTAATATACTGCTGAGCAAAAAGGTTTGTCTGGTCCACAATGTATTGCAGTAAATCGGCAGGGGAAAAACTAATTTAAAAAATCTATTTCAGAAAAATGTTCAGTATTGGTCTGCACACCTGGCTGTGCAGTGAAAGGTGGGATTGAAGCTGATCTTGAGCTGGAAGGCAGCCATAAAGGGTTTTCCAGGGCATCAGGAAGATATGTTTTGGCCCTAATTCTTGGGGTCTGGTGGGATGCTCCAGTGCTGCTACTGGGCCTTTCATCCTGGGGTCTAGCGCCATTGGTGTCTGCTGATTGACCATTGGGGTGTATGGTGCTGCTCGTTGTTGCCTGATATTCAGAGTGCCGTATCCTTTTAGGAGAGACTGCTGCATCCTCTGATTCAGTCACGGACTCATTACTTTCTACTGGCTCATATTCCGAATCGGATGATGAGAGCTCCCCGTTGCTCTCATCCAACATGCTCAGGATTTTGAGTGCCTCCTCGCTGGTAGAATATTTTTTGGACATTGCAGCTCTGGTGAATGTGGCTGTATGAGGGGTAAACTACTGATGGATGGCTGTGATGGGTACACTGCTGATGGGCGGCAGTTGTGTCGACTCTGTGACGAGTACACTGATTAGGATGCACTGATGGCTGTGGTGACAGGTACACTATGTGCTGCACTGATGAATGCACTGACAGGTACACTGATAGATGCACTGATGGGATGCACTGACAGGTCCACTGATGGGCTGTGCACTGATGGGAATGCACTGACAGATCCACTGATGGGGGATGCACTGACAGATGCACTGATGGGCTGTGTACTTATGTGCAGCACTGACAGATGCACTGATGGGCTGCACTGACAGATCCATTGATGGGTTGCACTGACAGATCCATTGATGGGTTGCACTGACAGATTCACTGATGGGCTGCACTGACAGATCCACTGATGGGCTGCACTGACAGATCCACTGATAGGCATGCACTGACAGATGCACTTATGGCAGCACTGACAGATCCACTGATGGGCTGTGTACTGATGGGCTGCACTGACAGACCAACTGATGGGCTGCACTGACAGATCCACTGATGGTGGCACTGACAGATCCACTGATGGTGGCACTGACAGATCCACTGATGGTGGCACTGACAGATCCACTGATGGTGGCACTGACAGATCCACTGATGGTGGCACTGACAGATCCACTGATGGTGGCACTGACAGATGCACTGATGGGCTGCACTGACAGATCCACTGATGGGCTGCACTGACAGTTCCACTGATGGGCTGCACTGACAGATCCACTGATGGGCATGCACTGACAGATGCACTGATGGCGGCACTGACAGATCCACTGATGGGGCTGTGTACTGATGAGCTGCACTGACAGATCCATTGATGGGCTGCATTGACAGACCAACTGATGGGCTGCACGGACAGATCCACTGATAGCGCCACTGACAGATGCACTGCTGGGCTGCACTGACAGATGCACTGCTGGGCTGCACTGACAGATCCACTGATGGCGGCACTGACAGATCCACTGATGGCGGCACTGACAGATCAACTGATGGCAGCACTGACAGATCCACTGATGGCAGCACTGATAGATCCACTGATGGGCTGTGTAATGATGGTCTGCACTGACAGATTCACTGCTGGCCTGCACTAACAGATCCACTGATGGCAGCACTGACAGATCCACTGATGACAGCACGGACAGATCCACTGATGGGCTGTGTAATGATGGGCTGCACTAACAGATGCACTACTGGGCTGCACTGACAATACACTGATGACGGCACTGACAGATGCACTGATGGCGACACTGACAGATCCACTAATGGGCTGTGTACGGTTGGGCTGCACTGACAGGTGCACTGATGATGGCACTGACAGATGCACTGATGGGCTGATCTGACAGATCCAATGACAGATCCACTTATAGGCTGATCTGACAGATCCACTGGTGGTACTGACAGGGACTCTTTTTTATTAGGGGCAGTGTGGTGCACAGTAGTGAAAGGGGTTGAAAAACTCACTGTTCCTAGGTTCTCCTCTTGACACAAGATCGGTGTGGAAGGAGAAGAAGATAGCAACAGTGAGTGACCGCTGTGTGTTTATATTTATGATTGGCTATGACAGGTCATAGCCGATCACGTGGCAAAAAGCCAATTTCATAGGCTCTTTACTGTCAGCAGGGAAGCATTGTGTCCAAGGGACACCATCTGACAGCAATGACCATGCTGTGCAATCCTGGGTGTGCGCATGCGCAGCACAATACACAGGACATCATATGACACCCAGTTACAGGGAGAAGAGGACCGGCTGGCCGTCAATCTGCTATAGGCCGGGTGGGAACGTGTTAAAGCTGGGTACACACATATCGAAATTCAGCCAGTTCAGAAAGGACCAGCCAAATTTCAATCTCTGTGTATGCCCACCCGGTTCAACATAAGCATGTTTACTCTGTTTACCTCCATTCACATTGTTTGTGTAGATGCAGGAGTCTGTCGTTTTTGTTTTGTTTTTTAAACTGAGGTGTGTACCCAGCTTTTTTTCATAATGTTTACTCTGGTTATCTTTTGATCTGATTGTAAACCATTGGAGGCTGAAACCACAGAAGATAGTAGGATTTTACCTCTTGAAGCCTGTACATTATATTTAATCTTCTCACTTCTTCTTGGATCACTTATCATATCAACATCAACTGTGAAAATGTTTTAGTAGTGATTTTTTTTTTTTAATTAAAGACTTTGTTTCTGACAGTGGCTGTGTTGGGGAATAACTTTCCTGCATCACAAGTCCAATTTTAAGAGCCTCCATAGTAGAGGCACATGTATTTAATGGATAGACCAAGGGCAGATGGACTCGAGGGAGCCCACCCCTCCTTAAAGGTACAGGAGCGCCCCGGACACCCAGCATGTAACACAATGGATGCTAAGGTGTCCTTGTCTTGGTCGAGGAGATGCACTGGACACCTTAGCTGCCATTGTGCTACATGCTGGGTGTCAAGTGCACTCCTGTACCTTTAAGGAGGGGTGGGTTCCCTCAGGTCCATCTGCCCTTGGTCTATCTATTAAATACATGTGCCTCTGCTATGGGGGCTCTTAAAATTGGAGAGCTAGGAACTACAGAATATTGGGGTGCCGTGACGAAGCTCTGGAGCTTACGCATGTATTTGCAAAGTAAACCCCTGTTTTTAACGCATACTGTTAGACAGGTTAATTTGGTTTGTTTGCAGGCTGGCTGGCAATTTAGAGCTGGGAATTTTTCTTTTTTGTTGTTTGACATGCGTTGCCCTTCCATGTGCTCCTTGCTCTGAAGGCCAGTTATAGACTGGGACAGTGGCCATTTTTTGTACCCCCAATAGCAAGCCTCTATTTATGGGAGCACTCGAGCAGGCTCCCACTCTCTCCTTAGCTGCTCACAGGCTGTGATTGACAGGAGCAGAAGCCAATGGCTCTCACTGCTGTGTGAGCCAATGAGGAGAGGAGACCAGTGCTCTCGTGCACATCACTGGATTGAGATGGGGATCAAGTAAGTATTGGGGGGGCTGAGGGGGGAGCTATAATCAGAAAGTTGTTCGCCTTAATGCATAGAATGCATTAAGATAAAAAATCTTGAGCCTTTAGAACCACTTTAATGAATCAAAGGATTTGTATATCTGTCCATTCACATCTGGGATTTACACTGCCACCACCACCATACAACTCTGTCAGATCATGTGACCTGTTTTTTTTTTTTTTTTTTTTTGCTGCAGTTCAGAAGTACTTACAGGTCCCCTTCTTACCCCTGTCTGTGTTTGGATAGTGAAATAAAAAGCAGCACATTAATGAGCTCATCTGTCACTTTGCTCTCTCCTCCTACTAGCATGCTCCTTGCAAAGCAACACAGTGGGCTATTTGTGCTGCTTCTCCCTCCTCTTCTCTGCTGCCTGTTGTACAAGCACTTATACTATTTGCATTAAACTACATTTAGGGATGTACAAACCAATATAAATCTGTAATAATTTGTGTCTTTTATAGAGTTCAGCATCAGTCTTTGTTGGTCTAATGAAAGTTGATCTCTGTTTTGGTATTCTGCACTTGCCACATTGTTCTTTATTAAAGCCTGTGACGTGTGTGCATGTTTCTAACTAAAAAGATTTTACAAGAGGGCTTGGCTTTACATGAGCAATTTGTGCTATATTGTTAACATTTGTAAACCAGTTTTCATAAGAACCAAGGATAGAATAGGTCGATGTTTAATTACTGTATGTTATTGCTCCATGATGTATTCATTGTGAAGTCTATTTTAAAAGCATTGTAAAAGTAAAAACCCTGCAGTTTATTAAAGTATTAAATTGTATTTTTGGTTAGAGACAAAACAACTCTTCCCTAATCAGATGTATTCATTTCAAGTTGGTTAGGAGCAGGGGCGGACTGACCATTTGGAAACTTGTGGTATATTCTTTTTGGAACTGTTATCTCTAATCTAGCATTATTAACCTTAATCTCATTACGCTACTGTCCTGGGTAAGTGTCTGATGCAGGGGCGGACTGACCATTTGGAAACTCGGGCACTGCCCGAGGGCTCGGGGTCAGTAGGGGGCCCCATGAGATGCCCTTGGTACCTTTTTCATATCCTTTTTTTTATTTTGGGCAAGGACACAGGGGCACCATGATTCCTTATTGCCCGGGGGCCCCATGAGTTGTCAGTCCGCCCCTGGTTAGGAGGTCTTACCTGCTGCTGTTCCTCCAGTCAGTTCTTGCTTCCTTTTCGCATTGGATGGGTCTGCTTGCCAGTTAGTCACATGATTAGTCCCAACAATAAAAGAAAAACTGCTATTCACAAGAGCAGGGGGTGATATAGCTCTGGGAGTTCTGTACACAAACAATGTCCCTTTTTTCCAGTTTTAGAAAGTAAGAGCTGGTGGCAGATTGAAATGGAAAGGTAATCTTTAATAATAAAATGTTTAAAAAATATAATGTATGTGTGTGTGTGGTTTAATTTCAGGGTATGTGCATTCAAATTGCAGGAAGGGTTTAGGAATTACAGCTCTTAAGAACAGCCATCTCCCCTTTTTCAAGGGACCAAAAGTAATTGGACAATTGAATCAAAAGCTGTTTCATGGCCAGGTGTGAGCTACTCCCTCATTAATTATTTATCAATGAAGCAGGTAAAAGGTCTGAAGTTGAGTCTAAGTGTGGTATTTGTATTTGGAATCTATTGCTGTGAACCTACATCAAGCGTTCAAAGGAGCTGTCCATGCAAGTGAAACAGGCCATTGTAAGGCTTCAAAAATGAAAAATAATTAATCAGAGAGATAGTAGCAACATTAGTAGTGGCCAAATCAACAGTTTGGTACATTCTGAGGAAAGAAGAACACACTGGTGAGCTCAGCAACATAAAAAGGCATGGACGTCCATGGCAGACAACAGTGGTGGATGATCACAGGATGCTCTCTATGGTAAAGAAAAACCCATGCATAACATCCAGACAAGTGAAGGACACTCTCCAGGAGGTGGGCGTATCATTGTCCAAGTCTACAATCAAGAGAAGACTTCATGAGAGCAAATGCAGAGTATTCACCACAAGGTGCAAACCATTCATAAGCCTGAAGAATAGAAAACCCAGATTAGACTTTGCAAAAAAACATCTAAAAATGCCAGACCAGTTCTGGAAAAGCATTCTTGAAACACCTCATGATCCAAAGCACACAACGTCATCTGTAAAACATGGTGGAGGCAGTGTGATGGCATGGACATGCATGGCTTTCAGTAGCACTGGGTCATTGGTGTTTATTGATGATGTGACAGATGACAGAAGCAGACGGATGAATTCTGCAGTGTTTAGAGATATACTGTCAGCCCAGATTCAGCCAAATCGCAGCAAAGTATGATTGAACGGCTGCTTCACAGTACAATGGATATACCAAAAAACTGTTTGTTTCAAAGCGCAAACGCCAAGAAGCTTTTGAAGGAAAATATGCAGCAAAGTTGATTGGACGGCGCTTCACAGTACAATGATCCAAAACTGCAAAAGCAACCCAAGAGCTTTTGAAGGAAAATATGTGTAATTTTCTGCAATGGTCGAGTCAATCACCTGATCTCAACCCAATTGAGCATGCATTCACTTGCTGAAGGCAAAACTAAAGGCTGAAAGACCCACAAATAAAGAACAACTGAAGACAGCTGCAGTTAGAGCCTGGCAAAGCATCAGAAAGGAGGAAACCCAGTCTTTGGTAATGTCCATGACTTCCAGACTTCAGGCAGTCATTGCCAGTAAAAGATTCTCAACAAAATATTACAAACGAACATTTTATTTATGATTGTATTCAATTGTCCAATTACATTTGAGCCCCTGAAAATGGAGGACTGTGTATAAAAATGGCTGCAGTTCCTAAAATTTGTACTTGATATTTATGTTCAACCCCTTGAATTAAAGCTGAAAATCTGGACATTTAGACTGTTTCATTTTAACTTATTCTGGTGGCATACAGAGCCAAAAGTATGAAAATTGTGCCTGTGTCCAAATATATATGGACCTAACTGTATGTGTATAACTGTATACACACATATATATATATATATATATATATATATATATATACACCCACATGCACATCCTTATTACTGTATATTGCAGCTTCCCAATGTGATGGCTGCATTAGTGTTCCTTCTGAGACTTTCCTGTATTTTCATCTGATGGTCCAACCAGTAAGTTTGTTGTTTTCAATAGAACAAGCTCTCCTGCAATTGTAGCAGTTTAAAGTGATGGGAAAAACTATTTAATACAGACAATGTGCTTACAATGATCAGCCTTTACTTATTCATGTAAAATCTTTATAAAAAGAAAAAAAAAGTTTGCTATAACTTGTGTAACTGCAGTGTGAGCTGAGGTTTGGCTTCAATGTGTTAGTGTATCTAAATCTGCCAGTACATCTAACACTGCTCTCCCCTATCCCCAGAATGACAATGCTGCTGCTGTCCAAGGGTTGCTCTCATCCATCCAGAGGGGAGGTGTGTCACTGGCCAGATCACCAAAAGCCTAAAAACTAATGCAGCCACCACATTTGATGGTTAGTAAGCTGCAATATATTACTTTTTTTGTTTTGGGTTTAATAACACATTATTGTCATTATTTCATGAAAATGAAATTACCCTTTAAGGACTGACCACCTTTCTCCCAGATTATCCATTTGCCATATTTGAAATAAAATGCCACTTTTTAGTCTTAGTTAGTTCAGGTACGCAGTGCAGCAATGTGTACTTATCTATTTTTTTTCTCACCAAAGCTGATGTGAAATTACCATTAACATAAAAGTCACACATTCTCTTTAAGCTCTTCCATTCCACAATTTTACATAATAGCATAAATCACACTTAGATTACATCTTTTTTTAACCCCTTTACGCCGGCCGCACACAAATGTGCGGCCTCCCGGCGTCTGGGCCTAGACACCGTGCGGCCACATATTTGCATTCATGTAAGAAAAAACATGTGCTGAGAGCGCACGCCCTGTGCGCTCCCAGCACACATGTCCGGCACTTCCGGAAAGGTCCTGGTCTGCTCTTTCAATCAGGACCTTTCCCAATCATGTGACCGCCGTCATGGTGGTCACATAATCCCTAAACAACATCCCACCTGCCCTGCCTCCCAGCGTTTGAAACTCTTAAAGGGCCAGGAGACGCCAGCGGGAAGGGGTTAAATTGGCAGACCTTGTCAAGTACACCGCTCAAAAAAATATTAAAGGAACACTTTTTAATCATAGTACAGCATCAAGTCAATTAAGCTCCTGGGATATTGATCTGGTCAGTTAAGTAGCAGAGGCGGTCGTTAATCAGTTTCAGCTGCTTTGGTGTTAATAAAATTAACAACAGGTGCACTAGATGGGCAACAATGAGACGACCCCTAAAACAGGAATGGTTTTACAGGTGGAGGCCACTGACATTTTTTCACTACTCATCTTTTTCTGACTGTTTTTCACTAGTTTTCATTTGGCTAAGGTCAGTGTCACTACTGGTAGCATGAGGTGATACATGGACCTTACAGAGGTTGCACTGGCAATCCAACTCCTCCAGGATGGCACATCAATACGTGCCATTGCCAGAAGGTTTGCTGTGTCTCCCAGCACAGTCTCAAGAGCATGGAGAAGATTCCAGGAGACAATTGGTTACTCTAGAAGAGTTGGACAGGGCCGTAGAAGGTCCTTATCCACTTGCCTACCGGGCACTTATACCCCTTTCCTTACCAGGTCAATTTTCAGCTTTCAGCGCTGTCGCACTTTGAATGGCTATTACGTGGTCATGCAACATTATACCCATATGATATTTTTATAATTTTTTCTCACAAATAGAGCTTTCTTTTGGTTGTATTTACTTGCTGCTGTGTTTTTTTTACTTTTTGTGCTATAAACAAAATAGAGCAAAAAATAAAAAAAAAAAGAAAGTTTCTTTGTTTCTAATATACAATTTTGCAAACAGGTAATTTTTCTCCATCACTGATGTGCGTTGATGAGGCTGCACTGATAGGCAGCACTGATGGGCACTGATAGGCGGCACTGATAAGCAGCACTAATGAGGTGGCACTGACTCGCGGCACTGCTGGGCACTGACTCGCGGCACTGCTGGGCACTGACTCGCAGCACTGCTGGGCACTGACTGGTGCAACTGTTGGACACTGACTGGCGGCACTACTTGGCTGCATTGACGGCCTCCCAAAAAATGGCTGGCAGCAGTGCAGCTGTCATTCAGCTACCTGCGGTCAGCAACTAGTTAACCCATCAGTAGGACTGGTATCTGCTCCTTTGTGCAAGGAGGAACAGGGTGAGCACTGCCAGAGCCCTACAAAATGACCTCCAGCAGGCCACTGGTGTGAATGTTTCTGACCAGACAATCAGAAACAGACTTCATGAGGGTGGCCTGAGGGCCTGACGTCTTATAGTGGGCCCTGTTCTCACTGCCCGGCACCATAGAACTGGATTGGCATTTGCCATTGAACACCAGAATTAACAGGTCTGCAACTGGCACCCTGTGCTTTTTCACAGATGAGAGCAGGTTCACCCAGAGCACATGTGACAGATGTGAAAGGGTCTGGAGAAGCCTTGGAGAATGTTATGCTGCCTGTAACATCGTTCAGCATGACCGTTTTGGTGGTGGGTCACTGATGGTCTGGGGAGGCATATCCATGGAGGGACACAGACCTCTACAGGCTAGACAATGGAACCCTGACTGCCATTAGGTATCGTGATGAAATCCTTGGACACATTGTCAGACCCTACTCTGGTGCAATAGTTCCTAGGTTCCTCCTGGTGCACAACAATGCCCGGCCTCATGTGGCTTGAGTATGCAGCCAGTTCCTGGAGGATGAAGGAATTAATACCACTCAATGGCACCCACGCTCCCCTGACCTAAATCCAATAGAACACCTCTGGGACATCATGTTTTGGTCCATTCTATGTCACCAAGTTGAACCCTCAGACTGTCTAGGAGCTCAGTGATGCCCTGGTCCAGATCTGAGAGGAAATACCCCAGGGCACCATCCATCATCTCATTAGGAGCATGCCCCAATGTTGTCAAGTATGCATACAAGCATGTGAGGGCCATACAAACTACTGAGTACCATTTTGAGTTGCTGCAATGCAATTTCAGCAAAATGGACTAGCCTACTGTATCATTTTTTCACTTTGGTTTTTGGGGCATCTTTA